TGCACAAATTTGTGCACTGGGCCCCTAGTATTTTTTTTTTTTTTTAAATAAAATTACATAGAGAATAATCTACTTATGGAATATATGCACCTGTACTGGTTTCCTAGGCCAATTATAACAAAGAACCACAAACCAGGTAGATTAAAACAACAGAAACATATTCTCTCACTATGCAGGATGCCAGAAGTCTAAAATCAAAGTGTCAGAAAGTTTGATTCCTTCTTGGAGACTCAGAGGGAGAATATGTTCTATGATTCTCTCCTAACTCTGGTGGTTGCTGGCAATCCTTGCTTGTAACAGCATAACTCCATTCTCTAGCTTTGTTGTCACCTGGTATTCTCTCTTTATGTCCCCGTATATCTCTGTGCATCTTCTTTTGTTATAAGGACACCAGTCATATTAGATTTAGAGCCCAACCTACTCCAGTGTGACCTCAATATTAACTAATTACATTTGTAAAGACCCTATTTCCAAATAAGGTGACATTCTGAGGTTCTAGGTTGGCATTAATTTGGAGAAGACACTGTTCAACCCAGTATAAGTATTTTCCTAACTTTTTTTTATAACTAGAGGCCTTGTGCACCAGTGGGGTCCCTTGGCCTGGCTGGGTATCAAGCCAATTGGGGCCTTCTCGCCCAGTTCCAATTAGGGCTGATGGGGGCCAGCTGGCTGGGGAGGGACTATGGAAGGGCTGCAGGGCATGTTCGGCCCTTCTCACCCAGCTCTTATCAGCCAGACCCCAGCAGCAAGCTAACCTACTGGTTGGAGAATATGCCCCATGGTGGCCAGTGCTCATCATAGTGACTGGTGAAATGGTTGAATGAATGGTCAAATGAACGGTCGGACACTTAGCATATTACACTTTTGTTATATAGGATAGCTTAAGTAGACCATTATTACAAGAACTAGAATTTTTACCTTGACAGGAGGATAGGAAAATGGATGAAAGCTCAGGTCATGGAATTTGAATTCCATCTACTTCTCTTCCCAGTTGTGTTGCCTTGGTAGTTACACTCTCTTTAGTTGATAGTTTTCTCATTTAGTAAACAGGAAATAATGTTTCAGAGTGTTTTGAGGAATATTAAGTGGCTAATAGATGTGATGCATTTTGCATGGTACCGGGCCCAGTGGGACAGTGCATTACTCTCAAAGAGGCTGACTTTACTGTAGGTGGGGTGGAAGTTGAGGCTTCTGTTCACATAAACAAAGATGATTTATCATTTTCATCTAGTTTCAGGCTAAACATCCTGTTTGCAGAACCACTTTGCTACCAAGATTCTGCCATACCTGATTGCTCAATACTAACAAGAGTGATTTACCGCAATTGTTGACTCGCATTCCATAGAAATGCTGGGTTATTTGTTATTGCCTTAAATGTTTATAATTTCAGTTTGCCCCTCAATTTTATAACACTTTACTACTATACTCCAGTAATCAACTGCTTAAACATCATCTTCCTTGAGTTGTTTTTTGAAAGAATAATTTTAAAATATATACATAAACAATATATTAACTTTCATAAATTTAATCCATTATCTTGCTAAACCTTTAGAACTCTTGTAAATGGAAAACCAGGTGTTTTACCTCATTTTTTTAATGAGAAAATTGACATTTAAAGTGGTTACATGACAAATACAACACTCTGCTGCACCCCGTCGAGATCATATATCTAACACAGTATTGGCTTATTTTGGCCACCTTTGAGTTCATTGTTGATCTTCTGGTATAAAATATAAACATTGTAATCTACGTATGCAGTCTGTGGTGGTCACTATTTTATCCACAGATAAACTAACCTTTGAATAGTTTAAAAGTTGGCTTGAAATCATATTGTCAAAATCTATACTGGTTTTCATTGGTTTGCTTGATTTAACACTCAATCTTGTCAGCTTACTGTTTTCCATTGGGACTGTACAGAGAACCTGACAAGAAAAGTTATGATCTGAGGCACTGTTTGCCATTCATAAAACACTTTTATGAGTCCAAACTGTTATATCCAACTGTATGTAGTGATGCACAAATACAGCATGGTAACGCAGTACCTTTTAGCATTACGCTTCCAGTCTCCAAACAGGCAAATATTCTTTGGATTTTAAGAATTTCTGAATGCTATTCCCTTTTTTGAGGTGCATGCATAGCTAGTGTCAAGGTGCTGTGGGGAGGCAAAAACAACACCAGGTGTTAGACACATGGGATCAGATCGGGACCTTGGTACTGGAGTTCTGGCTAGGAAAGAATTCAAAGCCAAGATTCAAACTCTAAGAGAACATTTATTTAGAAAATCACAGAGGAAGAAAAAGTAATTCCTAGAAGAAATAGGCTCAGGAAACAAGTTATAGAGGTAAGGAGCTTAGAGGTGCGACATGCCTGTGGAGATAAGTTAGGGAGGGGGAGGAAAAAGGCATGGGTGTACTCCCAGAGAGAGAGTGCGCTGGGCCTCCCTCTGTCCTAAGTGTTTTTTGGAGATGGTGGTGGTGCTGGTGGTTTTTTGTTAATCTTCACCTGAGGATATTTTCCCATTGATGCTTAGAGAGAGTGGAAGGGAGGGAAGGAGTGGGGAGGGGAGATGAGAGAGAGAGAGAGAGAGAGAGAGAGAGAGAGAGAGAGAGAGAGAGAGAGAGAGAGAAAGAAAGAGAGAGAGAGAGAGAATATGAGAGAAACACATCCATTGGTTGTCTCCTGTCTTCCCATATTTGCCCCAGCCAGACTGAGCCTGCAATCAAGATGTGTGCCCTTGACAGGAATCTAACTCAGGACCCTTTACTCCCCTGGCTGATGCTCTAGCCACTGAGCCAAATCAGCTAGGGCTGTCTTAAGGGTTTTAAAGGTAGAGATTTTAGGGGAGATCCTAGGGGAAGATCTCAATAGAATATTCAGCAGCTTTCCAGGTGTGTCCTTTCAGGGCTGTGATTTATTGGTCAGCGCCTGGGCAGGGGCTCATTATTCAATTAGTCTGGTCCTGAGGTCAGCTGTGGGGAAGGGGGTAGAGGTGGGAGGGGGAGCCCTTGTCTGGTTTTGCCGCTTATCTGGGCCTGGAGCTGAAATACAACTGAGGCCTAGATGTTATCTCTATTGTAGAAAAGATCAGGGGGTCCAAACCGCATGACCGGTGATATGCTAGGGGAGGAAAGGTCATCCTGGGGATGAGGTTCCACCTACAATTGTCCTTTGCTAGCACCCAGGGATAACCTGTACCTGGCCCATCATCCTTGCACTGTCCATGTCTGTGGAACTGCCTTCTGCAAACATAGGAAACATCCAAATCTACAAGAATTTTTTTATGAGTTTATTTGAGATAAACTGACAATTGCCAGGAATCAGAATCTCAATGGATTGAGAAAATGCTCCAGGACATGGCAGTTTTACCACTTATTTTATATGTCAGAATCAAAGGGGAAGATGGAAGATGGAAGGGGGGTTACATTAAATACATTAGTGACAGATAAGGGAGGGGAGAGAGAGCAAAGCTGGGAAATCTCTCGGATAGGGTAAAAAGGAAAAGGGTAGACACACGATTCCTTTACATAAGTGGCTATAGAATAGTTAACAGTTAACAATTGACATGTTAATAATGACAATGAGAGGATTTGTGGGTCTCTGCTCAGGTGCAGTGGTTGTGCTTTGAGAGGTCCAGAAAAAAAGAGGAAATAATTACTTTGATATTCCAAAGGTACATTATCAGGTATGTTATTGTAGATGCAAAAAAATAAATTTTTTTTAAATAAAAAAGATAACAGGCAGCCTCAGTTAAGGTCAGCCTCAGACTGACCTTTGTTAGGGAAAAATACCGCCTGTGACAACCCACCCAAAGCTGCTTTGGTAAGGCCGCTATGTAGGCCTCCCCTGAGCTTGTCAGGTTTAGGATGTGGCCCCTTTTTATTCACATTAGGCAGGCAGGGGATTTTACAAATTGACTTGTAAGATCAAGACAAATCATACATTAATTTCAGAACTCAGTAAGCCCAGGGTTGTGTACCAACTACCTGAATCTCAAGAGGCCAAGTGTCACAGATTGCTGATAGTTCATCAAAGCTGCATATGCTTTAGATTTGGTATTTCGGCTCTAAATGTGTCTCAAAAGTGTTATCTTCATTATTCTTTTGGTTTACTTTACAGTAAGTATAGTAACTTCAGTTCATAAAAGGGAAGAGAAAGTACTTTAAACAAAAAGAGATGTTAGTGCATGTGTCAGAAGACAACACTGATGGTTTTTGTGCTTTCTGAATTTGTTGGGAGAGCTCTGATTTCTGTGACTGTGGTATCCTGTTAGCCTGGCATTTCACCACATATAAAGTTTTTAACAGAACATGGATTTCATGAGTTTGTAACTTGTCTACGCTTCCCTTTTTTAAAAACCCTGGGCATACTGCAGATAACAAAAAATGACGATTGCTTTTTAAATTGCACTTCACAAAATGAAAATGTAAATTCTTTTCAGATTTGTTTCAGAACATTCTAAGCCCCAGGAATGTTTATTGATATAAACCCACATAGATTAAGCAATTTAGAGATTTAAGATAAATAGGCACCACTTTGCCTTCGATTTGGTAACGAGAAAGCAATTCAGCACAATCTGCCACAAAGCATTTGGGAGTCTTAAGTTAGAGCTTCAGAATTCCTTCTGAAAAAGGACAAAAGAGAGACTTCCTGTCATTTCCATTCATTTCTGCATGTGGGATCAATATGGGCAACACAAAGTTTAAACAGATGCAAGTGTTGAGGGGAGGAGGCAGAGCCATGCCTAGTTTTACATATTCCGCCAAATCCAGATGGAATTAAATCAGTCTCTCCTAAAAGCCTCCAGAGTAGCCTTGCACTGAAGTTAAGGCACACTTGAATGGTTTATTTCACCAATATTTGCTTATGGAAATGAAGGGGAGTGACAGAGGGGAAGGAGGAGGGGAGTGGAGGAGGGGTTTGGGGCCGGGGGAGGCTCTGACCGCAGCACAACACACCAGTAACCTTGTCTGATGTGATCATTAACCTTTCTGGAAAAGGCAGCTGGCAGTTCTCCGAGGTTTGTCATTAGAATGTGAGAAGAGCCGCACAGATATTGCACAGGCTGTTCGAAGAAGTTTGATTTACTTTGAGAGCTACTGCTCCATTTCAGGGTGGCAGAAAAATGAGATTTCAACAATTCTTTTTTGTATTTTTAATTTTTATGATGAGTCTTCTTCTTATCAACGGACAGAGACCAGGTAAGACTTTGATATATTTGTAAGAGGAACTTGTTTTTATGTCTGCTGTTGTCCATGAGGCTCTGAGCGTGATTGTGTTTCTGTTGAAAATCTCTTAGGCATGCTTGTGGTGTGTAGGACTTCAGAAGTATTCTTTCTATCTGGATATTTAAAAATTAACTGGATATTAAAATGATGATAAATATTTTACCACTATTTTGCTAATTTAAAGACCCCTTAGTTATTGTTGATAAGTTGTTCTTAGAGGTAAAAAGGAATGGAAATGTTTGGTCTATTATAGACTTTTAGGTAAAATGCAAATCCAAAACAGTTTATTAAAAGAACACATTGCTGGCTGGAATGGGTTAATGTTAACTGAATTCATAGCATATAAAAATCATGTGGCAAATTGTAGATGAATTCTTAAAATGGGTCAATAGCTATTTCCAGTTATATAATTAGGTGAGTCACTTAAAACAAGAAAGTACAATTGTAGTATTATTGTGCTTAAAACCCAAAAGTGTCAAAAAGATGTATGGTCAAGATAAATATTAATTTACTTGAGATATTTTTCAAAAATGATATCATTTGTGTTATTCTTATCCAATAGAAATTTAGTAAACAGTTATTCTAATGTGCTTTTACTTCAAAACCAAATACCTAAGGTTTTGAAGCACTAGCAAGTAAAAAAAATAAAAAATAAAAAAAAATAGGAAGTTTTCTGACTCAGGAAAAAATATAAATATAAATAGAAAGGTATTTATATTTATATCTAAATACGTTCTATTATTCACGTGATAATGTAATTCTCCATTTAGGTCAGAAAATGGTAAGTAACTGGTTAAAAAGCCAGTCTCTGCCTCTTAGTTAATCAGAAGTTTGATCACTGAGGTTATTTCAAATGGAATCCCCTGGTGTGCCCTTTTACATAAATAAGAAAGAAGTTCCAAATTAGCAACTCAGAAAGCATTCCTCCTTATGTTTACAATTGCTATTCAAACCATTTCTACTTTTCTGAAATATGGAACATTTTGGACAATGTTCTTATAAAATGTGATTAATTCACTACATAAAATACAAGGTCCAGGAGGGCTGGGAGAAGTGTCTCAATCAAAGCTGTGTAAAACTCTTAAGACAGGACCATCCAAATGACTTGAGAAATTAACGGAAACGAGTGACTACACAGCAATAATTACAGCCAATAAAAATTGTTTTCCAGTCACCTGTGTGGACGCCCCCCCAATTCCCCAGCCTTGCCAGGCTGAGGTGAGGATGGAAGACGAGGTGGCTGTCTGTGCCCTCCTGTCCTCTGTGTCTGGCGTGGAGCCAGGTTCTTATAAAAATAAACTTTTGTTAATGAAAAAAAATTTTTTTAATTGTTTTAAGGCAGACAAGGACTAAGATTTCCTTTAGCAGTTAATTATGACATGCACTGAATTTAAAATCTACTTTATTATAGAGGTCAGTTTATAACTAATGAAGATGTTTCATCTGTTCCTTAACTGTGTAAATAATATTAAATACCTTTGAAACTGAAAAAAAAAATACAAGGTCCAGGAACATTTAGGAATAAGTATGTAGATGGAGGAGGATATTGCTATTAACATGAACTGCTGGGAATATACCTTGTGTATTTGCATCACATTAATTTTTATATCATAATCACATCTGAACAAGTAGCAGATCACACTATAATTTAATTCTAAATATTCTCTTGCATCCCCCAGACTAAACAACAGTTCATTTCCTGAAAAATGAAACTAATACTTCTCTTTTTTTCCCCTCAGCTAATTTGGCAATGAGAAGAAAACTACACAGACTCAGCTGCCATCAGAGGAGATGTATGCCTCTCCATTCACGAGTGCCCTTCCCCTGAGGTATTTCTGATGGAAAATAGCTTTCCTAAATTTAGGCAACATTCCAGATTGAAAATAGGTACCAAAGAATGCCTATTCATATTTTGTTACAGGTGATAATGGCCTATGGTAATGTCAGTGTAAGAGATGCATGCTAACAGATGAAAGAGTGAAACAAGCTGGAGGGGGCCAATGGGGGTAAAGGAGGGACATATGTGATACTTTCAACAATAAGGAATTATTAAAAAAAAAAAAAAAGTGAAATGACATGATGATTGAAAATAATTTAATAGGATAGATAAGGGAAATGTAGGAAAATCTTGATAATTGTTAACTCTGAATGAGAGTTATATGGGGATTAATACTATTGTGTATGTTTGAAAATTATTTAACTCTCAGGCACCAGGAGAATGTAATTATGAAAGTATCTCTTGAAACATGTGTTTTGAAAAACACTTAATAGCTCCTTAGGTTATCCAGAACAAGTATATTTCCCATTAAGACCACTGTATGCTTCAGCATATGGATGAATTTGCCCACCAACACTAGGTGAATGATGTTCTAGCCTCATTATGCAGTTTATTTTTTCCTGAAAAATATTTCTTTTAATATGTAAAATCAACAATAGTAATGGCATAGCAACTTTAGAGCCTCACTCATAGAACTGGTCTTGATAGTTGCATTTTTAAGGTTAAATTCCAAATAGATTTCTGCTCCTCTCCTCTCTTTTTTGTTGGGGGTGGGGGTGGGGGAAGATAGTTAAAAGACCTATGATTTTACACCACCACCAGTAATACCGTCTGAATCAATCAACTTCAAACACTGCCCCAGTTTAAGTTATTTCATACCAAAAATAAATAACTTGGCATTCCGTTGTAATTATTTTAAGCTAGTTAAGTCATAAAATATATCTTCCTAAAAAAATGCTATAGAAATATTCCCCGGCTGGTTAACACATAGGCAATTACTGAATTTGCTTATTCATTTGACCAATAGATTGTAATGTTTATGGCATTATTCGTGAAAGAAATGTACCTGTTGTTTAACATGTGGTTTTCAGATCCAGTGAAAGTCCTGAGTAGAACATGAAAAGAAGGAAGAGCAATTCAGTAATAAGCATTTCACTAGTAAGCATTTATCATGGGGATTAAGACAAAAAGCCAAGTTCTCTGTGCCTGTAATCTATAACAAATTACTATTTGCTATCAACATATAAAAAATAAATTTGGTGGAAGAATCCATAAAGATACAGTAAGTTCTTGAGAAAACAATTAGTAGAGGCTCAAACATGCTTTAAGAGGATTTAATGTTTAAAGAATCCTTTGCTGTGTGTTGATAATGCATTCCCCTCTCACATCTAAAAAATAATGGTAACATTTGTGCTGAGGAGGAGTGGAGAAGTTCAAGATTTTCCCAGCACTCCCCCACAAATAACAAAGAGGAGAGGAGGTATTTCACAATAGCAAGGGAATTCCTGCATATACAGAGCAAGATACCTTACAAGCCCTTAGTGAGCCACAGGTTATATTGGCTTTCTCTACAAAGCACATGCCATAAAAACTAGCACTTCAAGTAAACAAAATAGAGTTGAGAAATTTGAATTGTCAAAGTTAAGGAAAAATTCTGACCTACAAACCAGATTTGTAAACGAAAGGGAAATTTCAGTGAAGGCCATATAAAACATTTAATAATAGCAGCCTTTTACAAGATTAGGCTGATTCCTTTAAAAAACTGCTCAGTTTACAGGATTCATTTCGTCAGTGTTTAGATTAGTCCTACATTCCAGCTATGGTTCTTTGAAGAAGGTATAAAAGCCTTATTTTGGAATCCAGAGATAGTATAAGAACCAATGCAAGATAAACATTAGATAATTTTCCAAGATCTTGCTGAACCAGGGCTATAACAAGTGCTACCTTCAAATTTGGCAGCACGGTTCTCACTGTCCCACATGTTTGCACACTTTTTATTGGTCTTGCAACAAAACATCTTGACCACTTGTATACTGGGTAAAGGCACACTAGACCAAAGTAGTGGAAGAACTCTGAGGCAGAAGAGCCTTTTCATTTATTCCCTTCTATTTTCCTGCCACTAGATAAAATCACATGGGGCTACATGATTCAGTTAGGGTCAAGTAAAAGTGTAAAAGGATAGGTAAGGTAAACAGTTGACTTCAGGATTTTTCCAGATTAACCCTTTACAATGGTTTAGACTTCCAAATCACTTAGTGGGAATGTTCTATTACCTTGAATATCAACTTTTTCAGCTTCTCGAGTCCTCTTCAGTGAACCCCAGCAGGATTTCCTAACAATTAAAAAGAAATAAACTTAATCAAATAGAAAACCTATGCTGCATACAATTCATTTTCTTGAATTTTTTTTCCCTTCACAGAAATATTTCAGCATCCCATACAGCCCTAAGTGAATTAGATTTGGGGAAAGCAAGAGAAAGGGTGTCAGGAATTCCAAGCTTCCAGGTTAATATGAGAGCTAGAGTAGAAAATGGGGTAGAGGTTTTAGACTAATGATTTCCCCTTTCCAACAGTAAAATCTTACTACCATAATACTTTTACTTAAATGTGTAATCTAGATAACTACAGTACATAACTATTAGTACATGCTTTTTAATAACTATAATACGTTTTCATGGTGTAAAATTTTTTTCTAGCCGAAACCGGTTTGGCTCAGTGGATAGAGTGTCGACCTGCAAACTGAAAGGTCCCAGGTTTGATTCCGGTCAAGGGCATGTACTTTGGTTGCAGACACATCCCCAGTAGGGGGTGTGCAAGAGGCAGCTGATCGATGATTCTCTGTCATCGGTGTTTCTAACTCTCTATCCCTCTCTCTTCCTCTCTGTAAAAAATCAATAAAATATATTTTAAAAAAATTTTTCCCCCCAATAGTATAAAAGTATATAAAGTCAAAATCTTCCCATTCTCTTGCCCATTTTCACTTACTAAAAGTAATGGCTATGAAAAGAAATTTGGTCAAGTTACCTTTTATAAATTGAGACCAGATAATTTTCTCTTGCCACTCTTTTTAAATTTCTTTTTAATTTATTGATATGCCATTTATAATTTCATTAACCAATGATGTATGTACAGTTTTATAATTGTACACCATTGTACACCAAAATTGGTTGTACAATTTTATAATTGCTATCCTTGATTACTATTCAAAATGTCTAGTTCTCTATTTTCTGCCTTATTCTTACCCCTCAAAGTTGATGGATCTCCTACTTCCTTGACCAAATCTCTGGCCTGCCTCTTTTCTTTTCACAAGTGTCCTATTGTCTTGGCTCTTCTTGCTCCATTCTGCCTTTTTGGCTGAACTGAAAGCCAACTTTGCCTTCAGCACAGAATCTCCACTTTAGCAGGGCTCATCTCATCAAGTTTAAATCTTTCTCCCTGACTAGGGTTCTCTTCAAATACCATTTTCTGTATAAGTCCACCCAGATCCACCTAAGAGTAAACTCTTCAATTCCTCCCACTCAAATATTTCTCCTGTTTTCTCAAGATTTTGAGAATTGTAAAGATAGCATATATTAGATGTTTACTATGTAAGATACTATATACTATGAAATACACATTACTGTCTCAATGTGATTTTCTGAACACAATGTCCTAATATTTAGTTCCAGTTGGTTTACAAGGATTATCATTTCTATCTTCAAATATTTTTAAAATATGTTTTTATTGATGTAGAAAAAGAAGAAAGGAGAAGGAGGGAGAAACATCAATGATGAGAGAGAATCATCAATCAGCTGCCTCCTGCATGCCCCACACTGAAGATTAGGCCCACAACCTGGGCATATACCCTGCAGAGAATGGAATCAAACTGTTACCTCCTAGTTCATAGGTTGATGCTCAAGCACTGAGCAATGCTGGCTGGGTTTGAAATTTTTTTTTTCAATTTTTCCTTCTTTTCATCTCCATTACTACCATCTTAGTACCTATTATATCTCCCCAACATGACTTTAACACCTTAACTGATCACTCCAGCCTCCAGTTCTGGCTCTGGAAAGTCTGTTCTTATCATCTGATCTTTCCAAATTAAATCCAGTTAATTCACACCAAGATTAAAATCCTTATGTGTCCCTGTAGCCTTCAGAAAATTAGAACTCACATAATTTAATCTTACAAATTGTATCTCTTCAGCATCATCTGTCACTGCTTCTCCCCTTCCCTCTCCCAGAGGGAATAAGAAAGAATTGAAAGTGCTTTAGACTTTCTGGTTATATAGTTCACTCACTGGTGATCATTGGTAAGCCATTTATCCTATTTAACTCTCCCTCCACTTTCAGACCTGTAAGAGGGAACTAGCAATAGTACTTATCTTATCATAACCATCCCTAGCACATAATAAATGCTAAATAGTGGCTAAAATTTTTATTAGTATCATTACTTTAAAGTCAGTCAATTCTTCACCTCTTGCTACACTACTGCCTTCAATATCCTTTCTTCTTTCCTTCATTACCAATTCATCCTTCAAGAAATCCCTACCAATTATATCAGATGCCCACTTTTTAAAAAAATATATATTTTATTGACTTTTTTACTGAGTGGAAGGGAGAGGGATTAGAGAGTTAGAAACATTAATGAGAGAGAAACATCAATCAGCTGACTCTTGCACACCCCCCACTGGGAATATGCTCACAACCAAGATACATGCCCTTGACCAGAATCGAACCTGAGATCCTTGAGTCCGCAGGCTGATGCTCTATCCACTGAGCCAAACCAGTTAGGGCAGATGCCCATTTTTTCTCTCAGCACCATTTGAGTACTCCTGTCAAAATACTTGACTCACTGCATTATAGTAATGTGTTAACTGAAAAGCATCCTTAAAGCAGAAGGCAGAGTGTGGTGTTCTGATTTTGTTAAACTAACATTTGTTAAGTGGAGCACCCAGAAAACAAAATGGTAAGCCTTAATTCAACAGCTGTCTAGAGATAAGTTGCAGTAAATAGGTTTATTACTCATGGCATGCCTGGAGGGGCCAAATGGAGAGGTCAAGGCAGAATGGAGACAGCCAGTGAGAGTGAGTGCTAAAGATATGGAACCCGGGCCACATGCCTGTATTAGAG